TCAGTTTTGATTTCAATTATAAGAGTTTCGTATAGAAAAGGATTCTTTACAAGTTTATATTGTTCAAACAACTGTCATTTTCTTCAATGCATGAATAGGACAATACAAGATTGTTTATCTGCATATTTTCTGATTATCTGTTTTTGAGATCATCGTTACAGAAAATGATAACATTCAGTGCATATGTATAGTAAGTAAAGACAAGACAAAGAAAATTCTCAAAAGACTACATAAATGCAGTACGAAGTGATCTCAATCTTCGATAATAAGTTTTCGATTGACATAAGAATAATAATTAGTTCACCACTTTATATTATCTTGGGTAAAATGTGGAGATCAGATTGTCAAAATCATCGTTTTACAAAACTAATGAAAGATTAAGAATTTCTAGCGACTCAATGTTGTCTAGAACAACACGTCATAAAGTTCGTATTGTGTCACAGGAAAGCACTATCTAAGTGTCGAGGACGAATGCGTACGCAACCGAACACATAAATCGATCATCACAAGGCTGTTAAATTCATTATGAAACAAATAAAGTTAGTCTTGAAGTATCGGTGTATACTTTTGATTTCATTTGATAAAAAATTTTAGTGGACTGTTTAGACATCTTTTGCACTTTTGTCCTTTAATAATTAACTATGATTCGAAATATTCTATGAAAATATGCACTTTATAGAAACGATAATAATCTTTGATACAGTTAATCTTTAATCAATTGAAGATTTATGGACTTTTCTGAGCTGTTAAATCTTTGGCTAATGGACATGCTAGAAGAATATAAAATCTCATTCGGTATATTTGAATAATTGACAAAATTGCACGTTTATTAAATAATTAAATATGTTTTCAGATTAAACGAAATACAATTTCAAACATGCATCTGTAAAGTGTTAGATATGCTAAGATTTAGTTATTAGTGTTGTCAATCGATTCCTGATACTTCAAATATACCGTCATATAAGTGATTGTTGATGAATATGTGTCCACCACCCCAGCGAATGATCTTTTCAATGTTCCAAATCGCTTCCAATAACGAAGGAATAGATTCGTTCGACTTTGATGCACCAAAAAGCCAAATCCACCATCGGTAAATGCTCATTACTTGATGGACTAATGGATGATTGCTTACTGTAGCATAGTTCGAAGCAAGCACTCCGTTGATTACAATGGTACCTGATGGAGTGAGTGGAGCATAAAATCCTTTTTGTTTTATTAGTTGAATTCGGATGATTTCACCAGGAACCACTTGATTATTCTCAATCAACTGGACTCGATCACCTATACGAAATTTACCTGCGAAACGAGCACCGTCCCAATCAAAATCGAAGATTAAATGATTGGCAGAAACAAGCATTCTATGAGTAATATTCGATATTAGTGACTGTATCTCCATTGCAAGAAAGTCGAAGAGACCGTCGCGCTTGACATGAATAAAATCAATGATCGGCTCATAAATATTGTCTTTGTTGACGAGAACTTTGTCTCCAATTGTGACATCCGATAACAATTTGTAGCTACCATCGGCAAGAACAACTTGACTTGAACCAGCAAAGCATTTTCCTCGGTGTTCTGACGTACTGCACGTGTACATCATGCAAACATTCGTTGTTACATTTGTACAAATGCAAGTAGTATCATAATTCGATCCGTTGACACCCATTCCATTTTTACTAATTATCACGACGAAAATTAAGAAGAACACTACCGACCAGTGACGCATATCAACTGCAATATATCTAGTTTTTTCTCTATTAATGTAGCGAAAAACGAATGTTTGTCTTAATATATTATATTTAAAATAGAAATGACTGATTATAGAACATCGAAAAAGTTAGATGCCAATATTAAAGAGAAAAATACTACATTTAATAAAATCTCTGAGGCAAAACCCTATGATCGCTTGCGACAACAACAAGTCAGTAAAACTTTTGAAAATGTATTCATGTAAGAGAAAAAGATAGATTGAACTAAAATCTACCGAACACTAATCATCGCATGATAACTTAACAATCATTTCGATTTTAGGTCTATTGTTTGAAACCTTGTATTGATTCAAACTTCAAAGATTCACCGAGTCTCTCACATCAGAATGATACAAGTCAACGCCAGTAGAGAAAAAGACAAATTATAATTGTTATACTACAGAATGATTTAAACACTCTATTTCAATTACGTTCGCACTGATGTAACTAATTTTTACTGTTTCGAACACTCATCTATACCTTTCACTACAAAATAGAATGTGTTCCCTTATTGATATCCTAGCAGACGCATGAGCCATAGAGTGCATAAAAAACAATAAAAAGATGAGGACAGTAATGTTAATGATAGGGACTCAATGCGATAAATGTAGGTGTAATACCAATTGTATGCAGTGTCTCTTGTAATTTAATACGTCAATGTGAAAAAGAAATATTTGAATTTCAAAAGTAAGTACGATAAATATTTTAGTGAAAATTCTAAACGTGTGATATACTACAATTAAAGAATTAAAAATGAGTGAAAAACAACTACGTCGTTTGAAATGTTTTTTTTAAAGAAGGCTCTCGCACTGTTGTCTTAGAGAATAATAATTAGAAAAAGAAGCATATTTTTATTACCGAAGAAAATGGAAAAGAGTCGCAGTTATATTGGTTTTTCCTTAGTCATTTAGAGAAAAAATTTGAGGCACTCGGCTTTCCATCTGGTTGCTTATTATATGTTCAATATCAAAATGACTAGAGTGTGTTACTTGTACTTCTTTTCTTTTGTAATAAACTTTCTGAAGAGAGAATAGCTCAATAGCAGCACTATTTGCTTATGTAGTGAATAAGATATAGAAAAATAACTGGATCGTAAATGGGTTTTGTTCAGTCTGGAATTGACAAGGAAATGACGCAAGTAATTTTCTTTTTCTTCATGAATGAAGAAAAAAGAACAAGAACCAACCGTAAATTAAGCATCAGTTAAGATTGCTAATTAGGTTTGACGGAAGCAAAAGAAAATAGATAGAACAAAGCTTTCATGTAATTAGAAAAGACAATATCAGGTGTTGTTCTAGACAATATTTGTTTTTTGATAAAAAATGTTTGAAAGTAGGCTTGCTGACAGTAAACCATCAATCCTTATAAAATGGAATATACTGAAAAAAATTCGGTTTACGTATACTATTTATTTCGATATCAATATGCATAATTGTCAGTATATTAATTTAACTCACGTTTCTTGCAACTCAGTTCATGAAATGCATTTGATTGGTTGAGTTTCTTATCACAAATTTCATTTCTGAACAAAGATTCTAATTAATGTCTTGCAATGAAGATATTCATCTGAAATCACTTGAACATTATTCTTCATATTTAATGCTGTTCAAAAGTATAAATCTGTAATATTATAAAACTATTAATTGATTTACCAATTGATTGTATAATGACGAGTTTTCATCGATCTACGGCAAAGAATGTTATATGTCACTAAATGTTCCTCTCATATCTATGGATAATTGGACCCAGTCGATCTTCTCTTCAAAGTAAAAACCTATTCCATTGATAGGAAATTCATATTTCATGACAACATTTAATTGATCAATATTCAAGAGAAATCTCGGTCATGAAAATGGTTAGTGCAAGTGAGAAATATTTCAAGGCATCGAATTCTTTGTCATTCCATGGGTAAAAACGAAACGTGACAGGAATCAAACCGAACAAGATTTTCGTCAAACTAAAACCGCTGAAAATATTTGATCGATTTGTCCCAAATAACAATATCGTAGCATAGGAATTTATACACTTTGATTAGCGATCAGTATTTTAGTAAAAAAAAAACATTTGTCCCAACTACTAAATTTATTTAAAACACTTAGTCACAAAAAAGGGCCAATATCAGGACCATTAGACAAACAACATTATTTTCTTTTGAAGAATAAAGAGTTAAACAATAAATCATATATAGTCTGAAACTAGGACTTCTACGCTATCAATTTATAAACAAAGCTTTCGTTCCGAAAAAATTATTATTTTTTTTACGCTAAGTGTTCTCCAAAAAATATCTTCAGTAAAGTTGGCCGCCCACTTGTTCTCTACTAATCCGATATCGACGAAACTTTCAGAGAATCTTCTTCTATATCTAGGATATATACTCAGTTAGTATAGATGTTTCTAGACTGAAATGCAGATTTTCTAAAAACCTTGATTTTTAAAATGTTTTTGCTGTTTCTTTTCCATAAAAGCACATTGAAGGAAAATGAAGACGTATTTGTAATCAGCGTGAAAATTGTATCTATTGATATACCATTTGTCAATTTTTAAAGTAAAAAGTTTTTTCATAGGAGATTAGGGCATACAGGTTCTCTTCGGTTACTTTTCATCGTAAATATTGTTTTTTCATCAATCTTATTTTGTGAGTACGAGAAGCTAATATTTCTATTAAAATAATTCGTTTTTTTGTTTTTTTGACAGAAAATGAATTATGTTCACTGAGCAAGGACTCAAGATAAGTAGAGTTTTTTCGTAAATCTCTTAAGGTTTATATTCGACATCCTTTCTTTGAATAGTTGTCGCATCATTTCTATGATTAGTGTTATATTATACTGGATTGAATCTACTTAAGTAAAGATACTTTGGTCGAAATTGATGTACTCATAGACACAATATGATAGAATGTTCACGTTTGTGTCCATCAAAAAAGCACAATTCATCTTATCAAAGGATTTGGCAAGACGAACCCAATGTCTTCAATCGAGTATTAGCAATCAATGATTTTAATTTTATTTTCAACAAAATTTATTTCAAGAAAATAAGCTGGAATAAATTCTATTTCTAAAATTCAGAATAAATAAATATCATGTACTATATCATATTTTACACAATGGTTTTTTTGTCTCACATGAAGTTTGTGATAGATAGATCTTGCTAGGTTCTAGTAGCATCTCATAAATAAACAAAAATGGAAAATTTATGTCTTACAATGCTCAAATTTCGATGAAGTCTTTTGAATTTAATAAAAGTCATTTTACAGATTCATTTCAAATCAGGAATAAATAGATCATAATTTGTAAAATGTGGTCTGCCTTTCTTGAGATTCATATTTTCCAACCAAAATTGAACTTTTATGCTATTTGCTTCTTGTTCAATTTGATTATCCTGATCCGATGCTGTCAATGGTTTATTATAACTTTGATCTGTTACTGCTGATTCACTTTTTTTATACAGCAAACTGAATCCTAAACATAAACCAATCAATAATAGAAGAGAATCTATAAATGGCCAAAAGAAATTTTCGACAAATCCAGTTTGAGTAACACGAGTAGCTAAAGTCGAATTTGTGACTGCACGTTGTTCAAAATAACACCAATTTCGATTTGAAAGTAATTTTTTAAGAAATAATCTAGCTCGAAATTCTGGATCTCGTTCGAAAAAATCTATCAATTCTTCTTCGGTATCAGCAACTGGATACCATTTTGTACCAAAAAAATGAATAACACGAGTAACTATTTTTGGTGGCGGTCTATTAACAATAGCAGATGAAATTATTTGATACATTAATTTAGAATCATGAAGAGGTGATGGAATATTATCTCCTTGAGTTTGAAATCGACTAACACCACAACAATGAACATCACCACTGAAAAATGTTATTCTTGTTCTCTTCTTATGGGCAATATCTTGAAAACGACAAAGAATGCGGTTTCGTTCACCTAAATGTACTTTATGCGTCCATTCATCAAGAAGATCATCATAGGGTTCGGGCAAACCAAAAACTGAACTAGTTTTTTCACTAAATGGAATATTTCGCCATTTTATTGCCAATTTTTTCCATGTTTCAAGCAAATTTTCAACTATTTTAAACCGTGCAAATGAAAATGGAACGGGAAATAGAACGATTAAATGTTGAACATTTTGTAGATTATGGTCTAATTTTTCAAAGATTATATCCCATGTCTTGGCATGTGTCACTGTTTGATGATCACGTTCACTACGTCCATCAGCACCTAAAATAGCTAAATTTGGGCCACATCGAGCAAGAAAATTATAACTACGATAGCCGAATAATTGATGTTTTCGAGCTTTCTCTGGTGTAGTATGATGTTGAAAAAGAAGTCGCATTTGTTGTGCTATTTCAAATATTCCCATCATAATTGGACTATCATGAAGTAATGGTGGATATGATCCAGCACCATCGAATATATCATGATCATCCCACATCATTAAACTTGGAATAGATCCTAATGCTTTTTTCATTTCTGGTCGACGTTCCCAATGTTCAGTATAATTATTAAAATAATATTGTGCAATTTCGTGTTTTGATTCATATGGAAATTGCCATGTCCATTTTTGATCAAATTTCAAATGAGACCAATTTCGAAGCAATGGAACATCATCAAAAACAAAATCATTGTAAACCTGATCACCACCCCAAAGTAAAATATGAAAAGGATTTTTATCATGAATGGGAAGCATATGATTCCAAACAGCATTATAAGTTAGGTTTAATGCTGTTTCCTCTGAAACAGTAGCATCAAAACCATTGCATGAAAAAAATGCACCGCGCCATTTTTGATTATATTGAGCAATATAAAATGAACCATTTGTTGAATGATTGCCCCAATGAATTTTCCAACTAATTTTTTCATCATCATATCCTTGACATAATTCAATATTGAGATTTATTCGATAAGCTCGCATATTAAATAAATTTTCATATAGTATTTCCCAATCGTAAGCAATTTTGACTTGTGCAATAAATTCAATCGTTGGTCGACCGTATGAAACATGTTGAAATATTAAAACACTTCCGATCCATAGCATATTTTCCAAATCTGTTGTGATAAACTGTAAGTATGGTCCCAATGTCGGTCCAGGTGGTCGTGGTGGACGATTTACTACATCATCTGCGACTGTTTGACGTAGATTAGTATTTTCATTTGTATTATTATTGTTCCATTCGTTCAAATTTTCTTTCCTGATTCCATGAGACATTTTGAACGATATCACTATCGTATAATCTATTTCTTTTTATCTTCAATAGAATAGAAAGCAAGATATTGTATCGAATATTCTATGACTGTTTTTATAAAAGATCACCGATAGGAATATACATATCCACTGTGATTGCTCGCCACGCTAAATGAAAATTGAGATCCACTCGACTATAAAGTATGGTGCAAAGCTTGGAATTCTATTATTTGAGAAATCGATATCTCATAAAAATAACTATTTGTCTATGATTGAATATAAGACACATTTATTCAAAAGATATTTGTGTTTTGCAACAATCAAGCTTTTCCTTTTTTTCATTGAACATCGGATAAATTACTTTTTCGATTATCAGCTGATTAAAGTCAGAAAAGAAAGCCAAAAGTAGCCATTAGGAAATGCAGTACTTGCATGATGTTTAACTGGAAAAAATTCATTATTTTTATATTCCTTCTGCATCTATGACTTCAAAAATCTATGCTTATGGACTTGCTGTTAAAGTTAGGCAAAATTTTGCAACAAATGATCATACTACTGTTTTTTTAACGATGGAAAATATAAATGTAGAGTGTCATAATCATGAATAGTATGTTTTTCTTCCAAAATTTAGTGAATTTTGGAATGTATCGATAGATACTTAAGAACCCCTTAGTATGTGTCTCATAGCTAAAAATCATGATTTCTTCTACATTTTTGCTTCTTTTTTTTCTGTGACCATTTTCTTTACAATCATGGTCCTAATACTTTGAGAGAAAAACGAAGTTTAGAAAAGTATCTTTTTTTGAGAGTGATTTGTACACAGACCACACATTGTTCAAATGAATAAAAATGGAATGTTATAGTTCATCATTGAAATTTACTTTTCACGATTCAATAGATATTTCCTAAATTTCTGTTGTCAAGACAATCGGAATACTATTTCAAATTTTTTATGTGTCAATCGAGAACGTAAGACAGAAATAAATATATAAAAAAACTCGTATTGATCAACATAAATACTGTGTTGCGCATCATATTAAAACAGAAATGAAGAAATCTGCCATAAACTACTATTACTATGCTTCTTAGCTGAAGAAGAAATAAAAAAAAAAAATCTTGCGAAGACCTGCATAAACGCTGTGCTCGAAACTGCATAAAAAACATCAGAAACTTTCTAAATAGATCAAGAGCTAACTAAATAGCATCAATGTAAATTGATTGTGTGCAAAAAGAACATATTGTTTTCATGTATTTCAAAATTATTCTTACATGAATTCGTTTAAAAATGTCATGTTTGAATTTAATAAGCTAATAATGTATTTCCATTACTCATAAATAAATATTCAGAACTTGTTTTAAATAAAAAAAAAAGACCTTCAGAAATATGCATATGATTGATTTCTTTGCATATCTTTAATTAACAGTCTCAATTCGAGTTATCACATCGTTTTGGGAAAAAATAATCAATTCAATGATGAGTTCATTTTCTCAGTTGCTGACTGTTTGAGATAAATTTATCTGTAACATTCTATTGAGACAATAAAAGAATTTTTTTCAAGATGTAATGATATCAACAAGAATCATTTTGTAGAAGCATTTTTTTTTCAACACTTTTTCTTATGAACAAATACTCAAATCAGTGTCCGATATGATAGTGACTAAAACAAATTAACTTATTTGATGAAAATATCGATGATTTGTGTGTATTCGGTGTAGTATTATGAGTTTTAAAGTATTATGTGTTCTTTTTTTCGTTTTTACAAACACATACCTTTTCCTGCTGCTTGAGTTCTGTATAAGACATTGTGTTTTTTATAGGACAAAAGTCGAAAATGTCTGGCAGCAGCTCTCTTATGAAGAAAGAAAAACTTTGGAATTTTTCTCCCTTTTACTGTTAGCATATAAAACAAACTTTTTTTTCTGTTCTTATTATACAATTCAAACATCTACCTCAAACTTCACTATTTATTTTCTTTATGAAATTAACATGAGAGTAGTAAGACATAAAGTAAAATGCATTCTGTGCTCTGGATGATTGCATTCAAAATTTCGATCTTTTAACAGTGCACCTGTCTCAAGTTCTAGCTGAGAAGGTTAATTGAAATGAAGTTTTCTGTGTGTGAAGAACTTCAGGACATGAATGAAGGTGTTGAAAAGACTCACACTCAAAATCTTGTTCATTTCTTTATCCACTGCAAATTCTAGCAGTAACTGTAAGCCAATGTCTTGGAAATAAAAGATCAAAATTTTACTCGTTTGAACTGGTTTGAAACTTCTTTTATTATGTGTTGCTAATACCAGTCTAGTAACAAAATCTTCTGTTTATCGAATCCGTAGTCTAGTGCTAACTAATGTTTTATAAAACAATCGTAGTAGAAAACTGATTCAAAAGGTTTAGATACCATATTCAGAGCATAAATAAGTCGTATAACTACTTTATTACGAGGTTACATCAGGCAAAAGATTTTATTTCAATAGTACTGCCTGTATCTTATACATAGAATCAGAAAGGAAATACATCTAGATTCTCATATTTCGTTTGAAGACTTGAAAAGCTTATATATTCAATACGGCTAAACCAAACACATTAGGCAAAGTCTATTTCTTAATGATATGGGCATAAGGATGGAGTGTTTGAGAATGTGGTTATAAGGATGCGAGTGAAGAGAACACTCTCATCTTCATATCACCGCACACTTACATCTCTTGTCACACTCATCGTCAATATTGTTTGATTTATCATCTATATGACGAAATTATATGGTGACCATGATTACTTGGAACTGAGAGTAAATTCTTCTGTATTATACCATAAGATTCAATATTTTTCACACGACTGCAAAGAGTAGTTTCTGAACGTATCAAACACCATATGTTCACATTTTTTTATTTTCATTGATGTTATCTACTGATTGAGTCTTTTTTAGTGATAAATAACCCAATGATATGTAGATCGAAAGAATCTATTTTTAAAGGTTAAGCACATGTTCTCCCTAAAAACAATATGGACTTGCTGCAAACTACAGAACGAAACTAGTTCTATAACACTTTATTTATTATAACAAATACGAACGATGCAAGAATATTAATTACAATACTTTCATCTTATATATATATATGTATATGAATGAATTGCAAGATAATTGCACTAATTTCAGAAAACAACAATTTCTGATTTGAAAGGTAATAAGTAGTGAGCTTTATCGTACTATGTGAGATAAAGTACGAATAAATTTTCTCGACTTTCACTGTTAGGATGACTAAGATAGATGAGAGTCGTCCAAAGCCCATTGAAAATGTCTGAATACGTCTTTTTCGTATATGCGTTGAATATCTGCAAAAATGCAAGAGGTTTTTAAAATTCGTTTAAAATATTTGAACCTATAGATAGGAAGAACTTTGTTTGCATGCCACGGTATACAATTGAGAATCAAAGTTCGATTAATTCTAATTACATAAAACTAATAGTATATTTCAGAACCGTAATCAGACCACCAAGCTTACTTGCTTGCATGTAACAGGTACCGGCCACGATTTTTCGATCTAGCTTGTGAGCATTTTTCTTAGACATCGAAGTTTTATCTAATAAATGAAATATATTGTTAATAAACTGATACAGCTGACGAAGAAACATTTTCAACTGACCAATTGCTTTTTCATCCAAAGCTAATAGATTTTGGATATCGACTATGCTTATTCCGAATATAACCAAAAGAAATCCTCTTAGGTTTTTATATGCTGGTTTTCTAGAAAATTAGTTTTTTAGGTTAATATACTTTTAGCCAAAAAAAATTTTGATCTATTCAAAATTATAGAGCATATTGAATTGCCTAGAAAACACTCAATTTTTCTGTTTCAAACCGTTTTTATTTTCAGAAAATAGAGCTATTAAATTCGTACAGCAGATGCATATAAACGTGTTCATGTGAAAACCTTCAAGATGATATTATTTTACTTAAAACTTATATATAGAAAATAGAAAAGATACAATACTGTCTGTGGTTTTCGAACGTCATTGATCCTCAGTATAATTCTAATGTTTCATTTAAGTCATATTCTACTATAAGAATATTTATATTACAAACGCTTGTTTCCTTTTTAGAGTATGCTGTTGCAACTATTTGAAACGATACCTCCAATTAATTTGTTAAAACAACGCTGATTAGATTTTTACATAATAGCTCTTTTCTTGTTTACATGTTTGTATTTTCTTTTTGTCATTCTTCTTTCCTTCTTCTGGATTTTTTTCTTCTTCGTTGTCGATCAAAAGCCATATTTCGTACCTTTTTTAATACTGTTATTTTATGTACATTTTTTTTTAAAATTAAGGTAACAGAAGAAGAAAAATGAGTGTTATTCATTCCTTTCAAGGTAAATTAAACTAAATACTTGAAAAAGAAATTGTCTGGTGTAGTAATATTCTTGTCAATAAGAATTATTCAACCAAACCAATTAAATCTTAATTTTCAAATCGACTAAAACAAATAACTTATTCAATATAATAAACTATGTTCAAGTCACAAATCAATCTCTATTTTTCAAATATTCATTTAGAACTGAAAGAATATTATACAAAGATCATACTTCTAATTTTCACAGTTCAATCTTATTTCGGATTCTCTTACTTTTCTTACTAGAGAATCGTGCACTAATCAATAATAAGAAACGAGTATATATATATATCAAAAAAATGTTTTATGATGATAAATGGCTCCTTAAATAACTTAGCCATCTTGTCAGGTACAGGAATCAAGGCGTATTTTTATCAGAGAAAGTTTTTTTTTCGCAATAATGATTCATATTTTAGGAGAATACGTTTTCAAATAGTCGATTCAACTTTGATTCAATTCACAGCATTTTTTTGCATGCAAAAATATACCCACTACTCAATACTATTATATTATAGTGTACTCATTGTTCAAAGAGAAATCGATACATGCTAAATGGAGTGAGATATAACTTATCTATAATTAAACATATGTTTGCTCTAGAACTGCATAATATGTAAAGAAAAAATAGCATCCTAAAGCTTTCAAAAATATTTGATCATAAAAAAAGAAACTGATTTTTATCTGTGCGAATAAAATTGCAAAGCACTTTGTCTATTGGAAAATTGATAGTGTGATTGGAAATGAGAAGAAAATAATTTGACCAGCATTTTAAGTGTATAAATGAATTAGAAACGTCATGCTGAGAAAACTAGCCATTACAAGAGTCATTTGAGTGATGACAATTAAAAGTTACAACACCACCCTGCTGATCATACACAATCATATATGCACAACTGATTGACACAAGAGTATCTGTCCAGAGCGAAAAAAAAAACTAGACCAAGATAAATTGAATAGAAACATATGAGTAGCAGTTTTCCAAATATGATTTTAATATAAAGATAATTAATATAACATAATCAAAGTATTAACTCATTGACTCACAAACAAAATAAGAAACTTTTCTAAAGAAATGCTTTTCTTTGAAGTACAGAGTAAAACATATGAAATTATTAGATACCGTACTTTCATGAACATCTCAACAATTTTCAAATAGTTTCAAGTCAACACCAATGATATGTTCGAATCACTCTCTATTCTATTTTTAATGAATAAACGTGATATTAGTTAATCAATCAATCAATTAATAAACATTATAAAATCAATGCATTTTAATCCTTTATCCCCCTCTTGGTAGCTGAGATCATCATTTTTAGAAATATTGCGAACAATGCGGAATGTGTGATATTAAAAAAAAAAATCTTTGCACATTGTGTGTAGAAAAAAAAACGACTATGAGATTATTAAAAAAGGATCTTTTTTTTTTTTAATTTTTTGTCATTGGAAGGAAATTAGATGAAAAAAAAAAAAATTTTAGACAGTCTCATCTAAACCTAACACTTATTAATATTTACGTATAGACAAACAAAGCAATTGCCGATATTTATAAATAGAAGCATCATTTGTTGCTTTATGTTTGATGTGCGTGTCGATGTCGAACGAGAAGTGATCTTATCCAACACCCTAATCGTTTTCAATCTTATTATATTCGAAGTTGAAGAATAATAAATCAATAATTACATACTTCTCTTCTTGATGGTTTAATTACTTTCAGAAAAACGAATGCTATATACATAGAAAATTATTTTAAAAAACACATGTCATAATAAAAAAAAGAAAACGTTTTTACGTATAATTTTCTTTTTCTTTACTACTATTATTGAATTTTAAAAAAAGTAGAATTTTTCATGTCGCTTTCTTCCCCTCAATGGCAACTCCAGTTAACAAATATTTTGCACATAGACAAGCGCATCAAGTCAATATGACACACTATTCGTCTGGCGAACAGGTCAATGTTCCATTTCAATAGTCGTTTCATTAGTGATTCTTCTGAAACTGTTATAGGAGAGAATGATTAAATTCTTTCATTTCTATTATACATTCGAAAAAGACGATGTTTTTGGCATTCTAGAGTTATGATGAATATATTGTCAACAGACATACAGACTGACCTTGTCTTCTTGTCGCTTTCTAAAGTAAGACACCTGTCTATTTTCTCTCGCTCCATCAATTCATACACACATTAGTATTCATTGTATTGTTTGCTAACTTCGTACAAAGAAAAAAAACATCATATACACAGTGCAAAGTTATCATCGCACTCGACTGTCGATTTCCTGTGTTCGTTATTGTAGGCATACTTTTTATGTCTCATTGATTACCTTCCTTTTTTTTTATCGACTACGCCTGCGCTATATAAACTATAGAGCCGGATCTTTCTAATTATCTCTTTTTCACCTGTTCACGATAATACAACTTTCGTTCATATTTTAAATCGAATTGGAAAATCGACATTCCCTCAAGGACATATCCGCTTACTAAACAATCGTTAAAAGGATAAAATAATAAAAGCGGTATCGCCTAAATAACCTTTTCTGCTATTGTATTATGTCCTAACAAAAGAAGAAAAGTAGCAAAACAAATAGTTAGCTTTGCTCGAATGCATTTACTGATGATAATGAACATCTTTGAAAACGATCATCTGTTGAAATCATTGATTTGGATAAAAAAAAGAAAAGAGCCAAATTATTAATCGACACAGCCGCTCAACATTTTTCTCTATAATCAATAAAATAACAGCAACAACAAAGACAAGTTCGACATTCTTTCATCTTGATTTCTATTCATAGAAATGCTGTTAACACAAGACGAGACGCCGGTGATTTGTCTTCACATTGATCAAACTTCCGTTTTTTTCTTTTATACTTTTCACTTGACCATAAGTGAACAACAGACATATCTTTTCCATCATACAAAAAAAAAGAAAAACTTCAATTAGATCAAAACTTTAGAACAAAAAAAAAAAAAAACTGTGCGTGATAAATAGTTAAAATGTTGGTTAATAGATGATGACTTTTAGTGGATCGCACATCGTTTGATCCATGAATGTCTAAATAAAGGAGAAGAATGACCACGCAATGACAATAAGCAAAAATTAATCGGTGTTGACGAAGAAGACGACAACAGACGTAAGATGGATCGAAATGTGTACGTGCTTTTCATTGTAGACAATAAGTGTCAGTTAATATTTAGCTAAAGAGCAAAAGAGAAACGAAGAGTAAATGAGTTAATTAATCGCGATTTTTTTTTATTTTTCTTTTCCAATATTGACAAAGTTTTATGATAAAATATTGACGAGAAATTTTATATAAGACTATTTCGAAGGATAAACTTTATTCTATTATGTTGTTATTTGATCTGATTTAATAGAAAACTATTTATTGATGTGTTAACACAGAGAAGAAAAAAAAGTAGCCACTGTCATTTTTTTTCTCTTTCTCTCTCTCTTTGTGTCCGTGTTGTGTGTTTGAATAAGGAAGAAATGAAGAAGAAGGAAGAGAAAGTGTTAATGAACAGTTTTGTGATTGTTTTGTGTTGAATGTTGAATAGAAAAGAATTGTTCACACAAATGAAAATTTCTTCATAGATATTAATTGGCACGTGTTGATTAAAAAACATTAAAAAGAAAAAAACCAATAAAATGTTAATTTATGATTGTATATTATTATTTATTCTTATAAAAACTAGTTTATTAACAACATTAACAAAAACTTATCCAACAATTGATCTAAAAGAAAATATTCCAATAAATACAAATATTTTACAATTAACAAAAGAAGTAAAAAATTTGAAATTAATTTTATTAAATTTAGGTGGATTTGAAACAAATTTATTTTCAATAAATAATGAAAATTTATTTACAATAAATGAAATTGATCGTGAAAAATTATTAGGTGAAAAAAGATGTTTTGATCGTTCATATTGTTTAATTGAACTTCATATACTTGTTAATGATGGTGAACAATATTGGGTTATACCAATACATATTATTGAGTAAGTTTTATTATTTTATTTTATTATCTTTTGTTTTTTTCATATATACTACGAGATATTGTGTTCTATTGATGGTCAAACATTTAGTTATTTTTATATATGTACAAATAGCAAGTGTCGAATGAATTAACATTCTCTAAAATCATAATTTTTGAGGGTTAGATCTAGAGAAAAACTTT